TACATCTATCACCAAGGTGAGTTTTTATTATTTTTCGCTAATGAAAAATCTGAATAATTGCTTTTTAACTTCATTTTTTCCGTTCAAATTTTTTTTTGGTTTTTCGTGTAGTCATGATAAAAGGTTGTTTCTTTATTTTGCATGTTAATGAATTCATTTTAATAACTTTTTCGCCATTTTTGTATGAAATCTGAATCTGATATGTGTTTCAAATTTCGTTTGGAGGTTTTTTTCATTCCCTTTTATTTGGTTCTTTACATGTTTTTGCTTACTTCTTTCATATAGTCAGATCTAGAAGTTTTCGTTATTATCGATCACTTTTATATGCAGTCAAATCTTATATTTTTTCGTTATTATTAAGTTTGTATTTGATTTTCTATTTCAATTTCAATTTCAATTTCAATTCTTTAGATTTAAGTTTTGGTATATTTTATTTAAAAAAATCTTTTTGAGATTTTCGTGACAAATTGTTTTGTAGCTTGTTTTTGTAATTAGTTTTTTTTTTTCTTGCTTTGATTTTCTGTTCAATCATCATATTAAACGAATTTTATTTCAGATCTGGTATTACATTAGTAAAATTGAACAATTTCTCTTTTTTTTTCTTTAATTGTAAACGAATTTTATTTTACATCTCTTATTAAATTTTTGCTTTTTTCTTTTTCAATTTTGTTATAATTGTTCTGATTTTTTTTTCTAGATAATAATATCTCCTTTTTTTATAATTTTTTACATGTCTTTATTTGTCATTGTAGGTAATGATCTCTCAAGTTTCAAGTTTGAAGAGAAGGAACTTATAATTGAAGATCTTTAAAGTTTCAATTCGTCATTTCCAGAATTTTTATTTTTATGTATTGAATTTTCATTGATATATGTACTATGTACGTAATATTTGAGGTTTATGAAATAAAAGAATTGTTTTTTTTAACTCCGTATCTAATAATGGAAAAATTAAATCAAATTAAATAGGTTAATATTAATGAATTGTTATTATAAAAATAAATAAGCTAATTTTTTTTTATTTAAAATGAAATCATATAGACCCGTTAGCTTAAAAAAACGGTCTCAATTCTATCAAAAAGAGACTGCCTAATTAAGATAGGCGGCCCTAGTTTTCTGAAAACAGAGACCGCTTTTCTTATAAAGGTAATCTCAATTTTCTCAAAAATGGGACCGCTTATCAGTAAGAGGCGGTCTCGGCTTTCTCATTCTAGAGAGCGCTTCTAAAAAGCAGTCTCTTTGCCAAAGAGACCGCTGCGCTAGAGACCGCCTCTAAGGCAGTCTCTTTGGCTCATTAGGACGGGTCTCTTTGGCCAATTTTGTAGTAGTGAGAAAAAGATGGTTTGCCTATTTATTGCAAATCTAACTCATAAGTACAAGCAGCACTTGAAGTTTCTGTCTTTGAATACTTTCGAAGTTGTGTACGATATTGGGATCAATATCGAAGATGAACTAATGAAGACTGCTGGTAGCAACAACAACAACACTTGGAAAAACAAGAAGAATGACACTCCTTCTTCTTCGTCTTCCAAGCCCAATAATGCTACCAACAACGTCAATGTCAATGTCAATGATGTGTTAGCTCTTAATGTTCCCACTTAGAAATTCTAAAGGCAAGGGAGGGTTTACACGCCTTTGGGAATGAGCTACGATGCTGCTTTTGATTGGTTGCATAGTCAAGGACTGATTATGCCAATTGGACCCTTTCTAGAACCTTGACCAGAGAACTGCTAGCTATGAACCCAATGCTCATTGCAAGTTTCATCAAGGCAAAGGTCATACTACTGAAAAGTGTTGGAGGTTGAAGGATGTAATCTAAGACCTTATTAATGCCAATCAACTTCCTGTCCCTCTAGGGGGCAAGAAGCCCAATATTTAAACTGGTCCACTCTCTGTTGCTTTGGCTATCATGGAAGATGAAGTCTCCTTTGGTCCGTCAATACTTATTCAACCTATGAATGAAGCTCTACCAGAAGTTGTATTTATTTCAAACTGTGAAGAAGTGAATAGAATTTGGGATAGTGACGATGAAGACGTCTATCTCAAGATAAAGCATGTTCATCTCTTGGCATTAGTGAAGATGTTTGGGGAGACCTTGAGGTTAAGGTTCTCACTAAAAACGGATGGTTGCAACATCCTAGTCCACCTCCACCTCCACCGCAATCACAACCAATAGTTGATCCCATCGACCCTGCGGACAACGATGTGATCAAAAAATTACAAAAGACTAAGGTGGAAATGAATGTATGGAAGCTTTTGGCCACCTCCCACGAGCATCGAAAGGCTGTGATGAATGTTCTGGTGAAAATAAGAGTTGATAATGATATGACTCCTCAAGGAATGGTCTACTTTCTCACTACAGAATTGCCAAGTACCAATAATCTGATTTCCTTCTCTGACAAGGATCTGCCCCCGAAAGGGGACCAACATAACAAGGCCTTACACCTCATTGTGGTGTGTAGGCAGATGAATGTTCTCATGAGCCTGGATGATAATGGCTCCGCAATCAATGTATGCTCACTCCGCACTGCAACGAAGTTGGGCATAAAAGATGAAGAATTGATCCCCTCTACTCAAGGGATTCGTGCTTACAATAATACTCGCCGTCAAGCCGTGGGTACTATCATGCTAAATATAACTACTAGAGCCATTGAACGTCGCACCAAGTTTTAGGTAGTGGACATCAAGGCTTCTTTCAATCTGCTGTTAGGTCATCCTTGGCTTCATGAACTAAAGGCGATCCCATCGTCGTTGCACCAAAAGGTGAAAGCTATAGTTGGAGGGATTCCAATCACCATTGATGCCTCCCCCATGAGCATTCAAGTTATTGATACTCCCATCGTCTATGTCGAACATGACGAGGAAGATGAAGATCTCTAGGGATTTTCGTTAGATGATGTTCTCATGATCGAAGAAGAGGAGAAGTTTCACCTTAACTTTGATCCTTATTTGAAAACTAATGTTAATGCCATTATTATGAAGCAAGGGCCTTTCCCTGGAATAACCTTCAGACTCAAAAACAAAATGGCTGAACTTTGGGGCCATCTTGGTGCACCTAAAAGGATACCTTTGGCTTGGGATTCAAGCCAACAAAAGAAGACATGAAACAAGCTCTCCTGAAAATGAAGGCTCGCAATAATGCTCGAACCATGAAGACGGAAATGGCCATGGATCCACACCCCTTCACTCTCAACGGCCAGTACATTAAAGAAGGGGAAAACTTCACATGCTATAAATTGCCAGAGCCTTTCGTCCACGATGGGAAGCTATAGGCGTCGTTCGAAGTGCGCCTACGTAAAAGCATGTTGTGAATATGCTTGGCACTCATGGGAAGTGGGAATTGACATACAGTTAGGGACACGATTAGGGACAAGGAAAGTAGGGAGCCGCCAACAAGTTTTTAAGGAACTTGTAAACCGTTCACGGATCATAAAAAGGCAACCACGATAAGGGACAACGATAGGCAACATTGATTGACCCGTGAAGGTTACACCCCATCCATAATCCATGAGATTACTAACTCCGTATGGTTCGGAACCACGAAAGGAGGATCGGGGATGATGGTACGAAGTGAGCCATGGAGTCACATTCGCCCGTATTGGCCTCTACTCGATTCTTATAGTGAAAAATGATTCCTGCTATCTCAAAGGCATACAAACAAAATATTCAATTCGCTCCAAACTATTATTACGCTAAATTGGTTGAATATTAATGCAACATATAATTCTAAAATACCGTGACCACTTGATTAAACAATAAGATTAAAAAGGAACCTAAACCGGTCGTCCAAATTATCTTATTAGGCGTGATTTTCAATTACATATTCCCTTTAAACATGCAATATGGTGATCATAAAAATAATATAATAAACATTAATATTGGAAACAATTTAACCATAATATCGTTAGTCAAATTAATAATAAAATAACCTAATCATGATGCTAGCAACAAGAATAAAAATAAGAGTAATTAAATGATTAACTACTCACTTTCCGCATTTCCTTGAATTGCTACATCATGAATAAACTGTTAATAACTTCAATAAAAATAAATCAAATTGAAAATTAAATTAAATAAAGGTAGATTTGATTTCGTCCAAACCCTCAATCAATTATACCTTACACGCCTTGGTTTAATTATAGAACTTTGGGTATTGTATGGACTCCTTGGAGTGCCTAAGGGAAGTAATAATGGAAGAATAGGGAGGCTAGTGTTTAAGCTAAAGAGGGAGAAGAGAATTATTTTTTATCAAGATTTTTGATGATTGGAAAATGGGTGATATGATCTCTATTTATAGAGAAAAAAATATAAGGGTCGAAAAATCAAGAAAAGATAAGAATTCGAATCGGGTAAAACTCTTGCGATAGACAACAGTTTTTACGGTTTTTGTTTTTATCATATCTTTTGATCCAAAATCTAAATAAGATGAATAATATATAGTTGGAAATCTCTTGAAGTTTACTTTCTAACCCAATTATAATCAGATTAAAATATTTTATAGAATAAAAGATATGTCCTAAATAGTGAGACGGTGTCAGTTTTGAATAGAGTTTGACATTTTATTCATATCTTTTCAGTTATAACTCGGAATTGATATTATAATATATTATTGGAAAGAAAATTTCAAGATCTATCCAACCATATAATATTTGGATATAATATATTATACCGTACTCCCATGTGCCCATGTGGCCTTATAAGTAATGGTGTAATATAACTAGACTCGTAATGCGAAATCGAGGATAAAAAATTTCTACATGTTTATGAAATACTCTGTAAAACTAAATAAGACTACTAAGTTTCCTCAAAAAAAAAAAAAAAAAAAAAGAAGATTATTAAGACAATAAGTCAGAAATATACTTTTAATATACTTTCTCCCATTTATTCTAAGTGTTATATTTTGAGTTACAAATAATTTTAGGTAAAAAGTTGAAAAGTCTCGTAAAGTTTCCTTATTCCTTAACCATATTTCTAACATTTCTAATGGAAATAGTAAATGCGTAATGTTTGTTTATGGTGCTCCTGTCGTAGAAGATAGACCTCAGGTTTGGAGTTTAATTCTTGACTTACTTGCAATTGCTCCTAATTGTTTGATTATTGGAGATATTAATCAAATAGAGCACCATTATGATAGATTGGGAGGGTCTAATGTCATTCAAGGTTGGGATTCCTTTATTGATTTTAGACTTAAATCTTGTTTATTTGCTACCCCTTTTAAAGGTCCGGCTTATACTTGGACGAATAATAGAGATGCTGACCAACTCATTTTGCAGCGGCTGGACAGGGCTTACATGACCTCTGATTGGTTTCAAAACTTTCCAGAAAGTCGGTTAATCAATCAACCGATTCTTATCTCCGATCAAGCTGCTATTTTCTTTGATGATTTCCTGTTTACGCAACGATCAAATCGTCCTTATCAATTGGACAACTGGTTCCTGGATTGCCAGGACATACATGACTTTGTCCTTACTACTTGGCAAAGACACACCTCTGGCTCACCAATGTTCATTCTCTCAAAGAATCTGCAACATGTCAAGTCTCTAGTTAGGAATTGGTGTCTCAATAATAAGAAATTTTGGGGTGTAGACTGGAATTTTTTTTCAAAGGAGCTTTCTAATGAGGGTGAGCTAATTCACTCGATCAATGATGCCTCTCTCTACTTGTCAAGTATTGTTACCTCAAAGGAGAGTATCTTATTGCAACTTCAATTTTGGAGACAACGTTGCAAGAAAAACTGGATACTAAAAGGTGATTGCCCGTCTAAACTTCTTTTCTCCAAGGTCAAGTGTCGTCAGAAGAAAAATGAGATTAGCTCGTTACTTGATGACCTGGGTGTTCTCCAACATGGGCATACGGATGTTCAGCATGTAGTAGTGCAAGCTCTTAAGAAGACTTTCAAAACTGATAACGTGCCTCTTTTTGATCCGGAAATTGATACCGTTCTGCAGGAGTTGGACCTTCCTCGGTTCAACTCTTCTCAAATCGCTAATTTGGAACGTCCCTTCACTGCTTCTGAGATTCGAATTGCCATGTTTTCTTTAGGGAATTGTAAGTCTCATAGGCCTGACAGAATGACAGTTGAATTTTTCAAAACACATTGGAACGTTGTTGGAGATTCAGTTGTTTCGGGCATTCAAAGTATCTTTCAAACGGGTTTTCTCTTGAAAGAATGGAATCAGACGCTCCTGGTTATGATTTTGAAGATTAGTAACCCAACAGAGATGGGGCATTTACGTCCTATTAGCCTGTGTAACACGGTGTACAAGTGCGCATCTAAGTGCTTGGTGGCCAGATTGCGCCAGTATGTCCCTGTTCTAATCTCAGACTCCAAGCACGCCTTTGTTTAAGGTCGCGTTATGACGGATAATATTTTGCTCAGTCATGAGTTAATGGAGAAAATCAACTCTTCTAAAACGGGCACTAATTGGCTTGCGTCGATCAAAATTGATATGAGCAAAGCTTATGACAGAGTTCACTGGAATTTTCTTCTACAGGTCCTTAAAGCCCATGGGTTCCCAGCTCGTTGGTTGTAGATGATCCAATAATGCCTAGCTACGGTTACTTACATATCTTTGATCAATGGTACTACCTCGGAGACCTTTAAGCCGCAATGTGGCCTTCGTTAGGGTGATCCTATTTCTCCATTTCTTTTCCTATTCTGCATGGATATTTTCTCCCATATGTTGCATTTGGGTCAAGATCTAAAGCTTTTTCAAGGAATTAAGTTGTCTAGATCTAGCCTCTTTATCTCGCATTTATTCTTTGCGGATGACGCTCTTATCTTCTTTTGTGCAACGTCTGCTTCTTGTTCTAATATCATGCAGATCATTCAAAGGTTTACTAAGATTTCGGGAAAAGAACTAAACTTGTCGAAGTCCTTGATCAAGTTTAGCTCGAATATATGGGCCTCTTCGCAGACAAAGTTCAAATTGATATTCCAAATGAAGCATGTTCAGGCGTTCGATCATCACTTGGGGGCTCCAATCGATTTCGTCGGCAAGAAGAAAGACCTCTTCCAATTCATCATCGCTAAAATATGTGGAAGAATTAGTAGTTTGAATAATATCCGTCTTTCACAAACGCAGAAGTTGATTTTCATTACCTCTATCCTAGTTGCAATGGCGTCCCATGTTCTCGCTTGCTATGAGTTACCGGTCTCTATTACTGGGAAAATTGATTCCTTAATTATGCGTTTCTTCTGGGCGCATTCTGATTCTAAAGGTATGCATTGGGTTAATAAGGATACCATGCATCTTCCTCGTGGCCTGGGCGGGTTGGGCATCCACTGCTTGTCATCCTTAAACAAAGCGCTGCTCATGAAACAGGTTTGGAGACTCTTTTCCAACCCGCGGCTACTAGTTTCTAAAGCTTTTGGTGCTCGTACGACCTTTCTTTCCAACAACCCGCACAGTGGGTCTACCTTTTCTGGTCGTCATTCGTATAGTCTACGAGGGTTACTTAAGGCGGATACCCTGCTTAAGCAGGGCTGTAACTGGAAAATTTGTAATGGTCGGTCTACTCTAGTTGGGTCGGCTAAATGGATAAACGACTGCATTCCAGAGTTTAAACCCGGGATTACAGTAACTAACGTTGATGCTCTTTTCGTTAGTTTTTTCATCCACCCTGATTTAACGGGATGGGATACTGATAAAGTTCACGATTGATTTGTGCCTTCAGATGCCTCAACAATCCTTGCATTAGAGGCCCCTGACACGACTCAGGAAGACTTCCGCTATTGGGCGCGTACCGTCGGGAAGCTAAGGTACTCGGTGAAAACTGGCTATGCAATGCTTCAACAACAACTTCCTATAGCTTCCACTCTGTCTTCTTCAGATTCATTTTGGAAAGTTCTTTAGGCCCTCCAGTTACAACCTAAATGGAAGTTGTTCCTATGGAAACTGCTGCATCGGGCTCTAGCAGTTAAGGTGGAACTCCATCGTAGAGGAGTTCCGGTTCCAGATGTGTCTTGTGACCTCTGTCAGTCAAAACCAGAGGATTTATAGCATCTCTTTTGAATGTGTTTTAATGCACGCTCAGTATGGAGGGGTGGGTGCCTCGGTATCCGCTCAGAATTTGATGGAGACCTTTCTCTCTCAGATTGGATCCAAGATTATATCTAACTTTTTATTAGTTAGGATGGTCCTTCCAGTTCTCTCTTAGGTACCTTTGTCGGTACACTTTGGAGTTTGTGGTTATGCAGGAATTCCAGGATCTTTAGGCATGCTTCTGCTTCAAGGACCTTTGATTCTCAGTTTGCAGAGGTCATAGACACTCATTTGGTCTTTGTTTCCTCAGCGGATGCTGCTTCTCCCCCTAATGTTGTAGGTGGCGATGTAGGACCCTCTATTCCACTAGGGTTTTATATAGCTCAGCTTGGCCGGACTTCCAACGGAGCTTGGTTCCAAGACTCTCAACATTCTGGGATGGGTTGGTGCTTGGATAATGATGACCCATTGGATGATCGAATTATTGGAGGAAGTAACTTTGGGGTTTGTACTTCTCCGTTACCTGCGAAGGCTTTGGCGTGCTTGTACGGGCTACGATGGGCATTTGATCAACTGTTTCATTTTATTATAGTTTTTACGGATTCCTATAATCTTGTTACTCTTCTTCGGGGGGATGGGCGAGGTAACGTGGCTTATCTTTGGCTCATCCGCAAGATTCAACAACTTGGCTCAACCTTTCGGTATTGTTGTGTGCATAAGGCGGATCGTCAGCGTGTTCATCGAGCTCACCAAATATCGGGGGAAGTAGCGGTTAATTTTATTTGTTTTAGTATTACTATGTAATCTGTTTGTATCCTTTGTCAAAAAAAAATGTTTCAATAAAAGATCATTCATTTCGTTCTTCTGATCCAAAATCATTCTTTTCATGTCCAATTCATAAAAACGTCCAAATTATACCACATTATTTTGGTCCATTATTTTAGTCCAATTAATTCTTATTTGGATTGGGTTTAAAAAAACCTTTCCAACGATATATTATAATCCAAAAACCGACTTAAAACGAATAAGCTATGGCCAAAATACTAAACCGAGCCCAAAACGGAGTTAAGTCCACCTTATGTGCGACCCAATGATTATCTGAGAGTCTAAATATCATATTCCCAATCCTAAACAAATTATGATTCATTATGAACTTTTGGAGTCCTCTGGAAGGTTCTAATCTATCCTTTCCAAAAAGATAAAGATCAAAGATATTGAGATTGAATAAAACTTTTCTTTTGAAAACCCTCAACTGACATTGTCCCACTTTTTCCATCATATCTTAATTTCTACAAAAGATATCAATTTTATTCTTGTTGGGTTGGATTGTAGACTTCCGTAGCTTTCCAATGATATATGATTTATCTTATTTCAATTTCCGAATCAAAAGTTATGATAAAAACAAAAATTGTTATCCAATGCGCCACGATAGGATTTGTCGCGCCGCGACTCTCCTATCGCGCTGCTATGAAAATTTCTTAATTCCTATATGTTCTTTTTATTATCCTTTGACCCTCTTTTTTCCTTATAAATAGAGGTTGTTTCATCCTATTTTTAATCACTAGCAATCATCATCATCACCTCTCATCTTCTTAATCACCCTTCTCTCTCTCTCTTAATCCCATATTATTAGCCTTAGCCTAATCACACCCCAAACATCCTTGATACTCCTTCCAATCAAACACAATAACTCCTATGCGAGATTTGAATACTCTTGGCCAACCTCAACGTCTCGTCAACCTGGACGTGAAAGGTTGACATTTGTGAGGGTTTAGTCCCATATCTGTATTTCAATTATTATTTCATTTATTTACTTTATTGATTTAAACTTTCTTGAAGTTTACTAAGGTGTGTATTGTTTTAATAGCAAGAAAGTAAATGCATCAAAGTGAGTAAATCTATTATCTTTTATTCTTTGATTTTGCAGTAAAAATCATGTTTAGAATATTATTTTAATTAATATCATAACAGTATGTTATTTTAATTTCTAGTATCATGATTAGGATGTTGATTTTAATTAACAGTATCATAATAAGGATAATGCTTTGATTATGATTTTTATTAGTGACATGCTAGGATTGTTATTAATCTGTTTAGATCATGCCTAGGATCTTGCTAAAGATGTTTTAATAATGATGTTATAATAATTGTTGTGTCAATTATATGTTGCTTGATAATTCATGATTTATTGTTATTGTCTGATTATCAACTTTTTGCAGTTTTTAAAGAGAATTTGTACTTGAAATCACGCCTAATAAGATAATTAATAATTCGAATTTATGTTAATATCATTTTAATTGAATTGTTAACCAATATAATAATAGATTTGATTGTGGATTAATAATCAAGCATTAATAATCAACCAACATAGATTAAATATTCTTAGGGTTAATTTGATATATGTATGTTGATCAAAAACCGCATGAATAATATAAAAAGAATTAAATTGAGGTCGATTTAGGGCAGGTTCAATCTCTTTTAAGGTTGGATTTGTACCTTCATTCCCAAATATCTAGTCATGGTTCCAGACCACTATGGAGTTAGCGATCTCTATGATCGTGATGCATAGGGTGTAGCCTTCACACCCGTAAACGATTTACAAGTTCATATAACTTGTAGGAAACACTTTTATCTCTAGCTTCTTTCCCTGGGAGCGCCACCATGCCTTAAATCATGAACATAGTGGGGCTCACAATTGAGTATAAAAATTCCCTAAAATAGTTAGGAAGTTAAATTTGAGTTTAACGTCCGTTATTTGTTTGATTACATGATAGATAATTTGGGAGGCCGTCGATTGGTAAACCGGAAGAAACCACTGATATTGTTTTTGTCGATTGATTTTTATATTCGGGCTAGAACTACCATTACATTGCTTATGTTCAAGGTAAAGCTTAATCTTGTATACTAATTCTCATATTATTTAGATTCCTTGCATTTATTCCTTTAGTTAATAATTGATAGGTCCTATTTGCACACCTTTTAAATGTATATCTATACTCAATTGCTGCTTATAGATTAGGGGTCTAAGGTTTATTTTTACATTATTTTAATTTCTTAGGTTGTTCTCTACTACTCTTCGTTTGTGTGCTTTAATGAACTTCGGGTGATTTAGATGAAAATGAATTATGGTTGGCTAATCTTGAGTATAATAATCATGAAGTACAAAGCTATTTTGCTCAAGGATCTCAAATCATGTCTTCAAGATGAAATAAGGATAGAAAGAAGCAAATGTGTTGATGAAATTAAAGACATGATGAATATAAGTCCCTTCCACTACTTTGATTGTAACTTTTTCTTTACAAATGATATTGAAGTGATTAAATTGCATTGAAAATAAGACTTCAAGAGCTTTCCAACGATAT